ATAAACTAAGATGATATAGGCATATATGAAAATTAAAGTGCCGGTGTCTGTTGCAAGATTTACTGGTCCCACTGCCCATTTTAATTTAACAAGAAAATATATCATATAGCATCACAACACTGACTTTTATCAAGATAAATAACCGCAGGTTCAAAAGATTTACAATTATAGATAAAGCCTAAATAAGCACTTACTAGTCATAATAAGCAAGTCATACTCGGGTTAACATATATTTTATTTTAGATTTCAGCGCTTAATGTCTACAATTCTCACATTAAACCATTATTACAGGCGTGCAGAAGTGATACAATATCAAGATTTAATATATAATAATCCAATCAGGACTAAGGATATAAATTTATTTCCAGGGAGGCAGCTTATAGTGGCTACTAACATCAGTACCATCAACATCACTCACAATACTTCCACAACCACCTAGAACCTAATATTCCTCGACTCACGAAGTCTTCACTTACCCCAGTGCCAATTGAACTCATGATACAATATTTGTGTTAAGGTGTAAGAGAGTAAGAGTAACCTGGTGTCAACACTGTCAAGCGTCGACTTGCTAGCTCTCTCCTACTGCTGGTACACTCAACTTTATTTAGTATTAAAATGTAATGAATAAGTAAGTTAATAAGTAAATGTGCAAGTAAGTAACGACCCCAGTGGAAATAAGACACTTTGACTTTTTTGGGGGTTATCTTAGGTGATTTATACGTTTGTTACTATGTATGATAATTTGTGAAACTATTTATGTGTACCTGTACCTAAATAAACTTGTAGAAATAAACATTATTTATTATTATTATTATTATTATTATTATTATTATTATTATTATTATTATTATTATTATTATTATTATTATTATTATTACTATTATTATTACTTATAAACAGAGACAGAAACTCGCTGGTATTAGTTGATTTCTATATTTTGACCCCTTCATGGGATACTCTTTATATTCTTTAACTTTAAAATACCTCCCATATATTCGCTAATAACCAACTATTTTAAATAAAACTCCATTATATGATATTTTTACCGCTATGTAAATGTCTAGCATATAATGTAAGTTTGGATTATTTTTTGGTCTAAAAGTTTGTTGCACGCGACTAAAAATTCTGACGTTGAAGATGTAATTATTATTACATTTATATGGAAGTGCTGGACGTATATAGGTCATAAAGAGACAATGGAATGTGAGGTAATCAAGGTCAATCCAGAAAAGAGGAGAACAATTCCAGTTCCCTGGATCAAGAGCCCCTCACCGGCATCTAGGAGCCTTCCTTCATGGGGGCTGAAAATACAGCTGTAATATTCCGCTATATAAATATATTCTGATGTCACTCACACGTGAAATTATTTTTAAAATTACCTCAATTATTAATATGAAAATAAATAATAGAAATAAATTTAATAATGTAGTCGACGTTTCAAATTACGTGACATGATAAACAATTTTTTTTTTCGTATTGTAAGTTTTAAAAACCTCAGAGTAGATGAACAAGACATATGCGCAATATTATATCTTACTGTGGAGAAATCTGGCTAACCAGTGACTTATCAGGCATTGAGTCAAGAGAATAAATTACAGGCGCTTCCTTTACAGGCGAAGAAAACGAATAACAGAGCGGTTAAAAGAGGTCAATATATCTGAAATGCGTAGGGAGTCACTGGTCAGACAAATAGCAAACATCGAACTTAAGCTAAAGGAGTCATAGGAGTCAGGAATCGCGGGAAGAACTAAAAGCCATAAATGAAATCGAAAGAAACCCAAAGTATTTCTTTTCTTATGCCAAATCAAAGTCGAGAACAATGTCCAGTATTGGGCCCCTACTTAAACAAGATGGGTCCTATACAGATGACAGCAAGGAAATGAGTGAGCTACTCAAGTCCCAATATGACTCAGTTTTTAGCAAGCCGCTAACCAGACTGAGAGTCGAAGATCAAAATGAATTTTGTATGAGAGAGCCACAGAACTTGGTTAACACAAGCCTATATTAAAATACACTCTGCAACACTGGACTGCAAGGAGCAATGGTCGGTTGACCACAGGTCGCATACTCGTACGGCATCTGTGATCAATTACTCACTGTAGTAGTAAACAAGACGCTTACCCCTTCTGAGAGGTCTGGGCCCCTCAGGGCTGAAAGGGGCTGAAGGGGGCTGATACCCCCCTCCTGGAGAAAATTTCTCCACACCGCTTCACACACGGAGGGCCCGGGTTCGATTCCCGGCGGGTGGAAACATTTCGACACGTTTCCTTACACCTGTTGTCCTGTTCACCTAGCAGCAAATAGGTACCTGGGTGTTAGTCGACTGGTGTGGGTCGCATCCTGGGGGACAAGATTAAGGACCCCAATGGAAATAAGTTAGAGAGTCCTCGATGACGCACTGACTTTCTTGGGTTATCCTGGGTGGCTAACCCTCCGGAGTTAAAAATCCGAACGAAATCTTATCTTATCTTATCTGATGTTATCCTGACGCCAAATGACTTCGAACAGGCGATAAATGACATGCCCATGCACTCTGCCCCAGGGCCAGACTCATGGAACTCCGTGTTCATCAAGAACTGCAAGAAGCCCCTATCACGAGCTTTTACCATCTTATGGAGAGGGAGCATGGACACGGGGGTCGTCCCACAGTTACTAAAAACAACAGACATAGCCCCACTCCACAAAGGGGGCAGTAAAGCAATAGCAAAGAACTACAGACCGATAGCACTAACATCCCATATCATAAAAATCTTTGAAAGGGTCCTAAGAAGCAAGATTGCCACCCATCTAGAAACCCATCAATTACATAACCCAGGGAAACATGGGTTTAGAGCAGGACGCTCCTGTCTGTCCCAACTACTGGATCACTACGACAAGGTCCTAGATGCACTAGAAGACAAAAAGAATGCAGATGTAATATATACAGACTTTGCAAAAGCCTTCGACAAGTGTGACCATGGCGTAATAGCGCACAAAATGCGTGCTAAAGGAATGACAGGAAAAGTTGGTAGATGGATCTATAATTTCCTCACAAACAGAACACAGAGAGTAGTAGTCAACAGAGTAAAGTCCGAGGCGGTTACGGTGAAAAGCTTTGTTCCACAAGGCACAGTACTCGCTCCCATCTTGTTTCTCATCCTCATATCTGACATAGACAAGGATGTCAGCCACAGCACCGTGTCTTCCTTTGCAGATGACATCCGAATATGCATGACAGTGTCTTCCATTGCAGACACTGCAAGGCTCCAGGCAGACATCAACCAAATCTTTCAATGGGCTGCAGAAAACAATAAGAAGTTCAACGATGAGAAATTTCAATTACTCCGATATGGTAAACACGAGGAAATCAAAACTTCATCAGAGTACAAAACAAATTCCGGCCACAAAATAGAGCGAAAAACCAACATCAAAGACCTGGGAGTGATCATGTCGGAATATCTCACCTTCAAGGACCATAACATTATATCAATCGCAGCTGCTAGAAAGATCACAGGATGGATAATGAGAACCTTCAAAACTAGGGATGCCAAGCCCATGATGACACTCTTCAGGTCGCTTGTTCTAGCTAGGCTGGAATATTGCTGCACACTAACAGCACCTTTCAAGGCAGGTGAAATTACTGACCTAGAAAATGTACAGAGAACCTTCACCTCAATTACTGGGAGCACTTAAGCGCTTAAAGTTCCTGAACCTGTATTCCCTGGAACGCAGGCAGGAGAGATACATGATTATATACATCTGGAAAATCCTAGAGGGACTAGTACGTTAAGAGACAATACAATAAGTGTCAGGGGGCCGAGACTGCTCAACTGCCTCCCAGCATACATAAGGGGGAGTACCAATAGACCACTGGCAGTCTTCAAGCTGGCACTGGACAAGCACCTAAAGTCGGTACCTGACCAGCCGGGCTGTGGCTCGTACGTTGGATTGCATGCAGCCAGCAGTAACAGCCTGGTTGATCAGGTTCTGATCCACCAGGAGGCCTGGTCACAGACCGGGCCGCGGGGGCGTTGACCCCCGGAACTCTCTCCAGGTAAACACTGGAGACGGATTATTATGATAATCATGGGGAGCGCTAAACCCATAGGATTATACAGCACATGTTAATGGGGGGGGGATGGAAGGCATTCAGGCTCAATTCAGGGAACTGGAGCAGAGATCCAGTTCGGCTGCAATTCCCTAGATCAAGAGCCCCTCACCAGCATCAAGGAACCTCCCTTGAGGGGATGACCCATAAACTATATATAATGTTCTTTTCAGACTTATCGCATCAGGTATAGGCAGTGCACCACACAAATTAACCGGAGTTCTTGCCAAATATCTTTCCTGCTTTCTGGGGACCATCAGCCCCGCTCATCTTAAGCATTCAGGCGACCTTCCCAACCGCATCAGGAACCTCTTCATCCGAAACAAGAAACTCATTAGTTTGGACGTAACTTCTCTCACTAAAGTACCCACCACACAAGCTATTGACGTTTTACAATGTAAAGTTAATTGGGACCTTAACGTTCCTCTACCTCCCGGAGATTTTGTTGACTTGATTGAACTCTGCATTAGTTTTAATTGCTTTTCGTTCAATAACAGGCTCTACAAACAAATCTATGATATGGGAATGGGGTCCCCTATCAGCTCCGTCTTAGCCAACTTGTATATGGAGCACCTAGAAGCTGAACACTTCACCAACATCATCCCCACCAACGTCACTTGGTTACGTTATGTGGACGACGTCCTCATAACGACATTCCAACACCTGTATACCACAACTCCATCATGCTAGGCTATGCAGACGACATTACACAACTCATCAATCACGCCAGTATAGATACACTCACAAAATACAAAATGAGTCAACAGGATAGCCATCTAGAAACTAAAATGGAGGATCAAATCCAATGAAACTAAATCCAGCATTACATATTTTAACTATAGGAAACATGATCCTCCATTACCTGTCGAGCTCAGAACAACTGACACCCGCACCTACATCCCCTTCACACAATCTGTCACCATCCTTGGCGTTAATCTTGATTACCTTCTTCGCGTACACGGACACTCACACAAAGCATGCAATAGCTAGTAAAGGCCCTTGAGGGCCTCTGCAAGCTGCAACATGCCTCCCAACGCACCAAACTACACCTCTACAAATCCCTAATACGTCCTCTGATAACTTACTCTCCTCTAGCCCTCTCTCTCTTGCAGCTAAAACAAACTTACTTAAATAGCAGCATGTCCAGAATAAGGTTCTGCTCTGGGTGCTTGATGTCAGAGGGAAGGACTTTGCCACAAGCAAGTCTCTCCATGCCCAGTTAGACATCCCTTCCTGAATCTGTACTGGAAGACTCTCAATGACAGACAGATAGACAAACTTGAGAAACGACACGACTACTGGACCTCTTTCCTAGACAAAGACAATGGCAGACCCACAAACCTACACAACCTTTTCTACTCTTTGTATGATCCTGCTCCTAAACCTATTTACAGATAACCTTTGGATTCTCTCACAGGTACCTTCCGCTCATTGGCCCTCTGACCCAAGCTCGCCTTAGCTGTTGGGTTAAGGGCTGGCTCTATTTCTACACTCCTTTGTAGCGCTAATCTTCGCCTGTTCCGTCTTCCCCACTCAC